TATACATGCATATATATCATATTTGTAGTCATTTGAACTTAAGTAAACTAATCTTAAATAAAAATAATATAATAAAACAAAAATGCATTATTATGAAATGTAAATGTACCTTTGTTTCCTGTTGTTTAGCCCATTTAGTAAGATCCGCTCCAGTTTTAGCGACCGATTCAGCTGTTCTAGTAAAGTCCACAGCGATTACTTCGTCCCATCCGGTAAATTTAGATTTGAATATCTATATAATATATAAAGCAAATATTTTTCAATAAAAAGAGTTTATAAATTGAATTTTTATAAATTAAAATTAAAAAAGCATATTCACTTGTGATTCAGTGCCTTCTTGCAATCTCGTTACCATCGCGTATTCTGGCCTTTCTATCATATTAAATAATTCTTGAGATAGTTTTACAGCAGCGGCGCGTACTAATCTCGTCGATTTTTTACCAAACCTAAAGCATGCGTGTAATCAATTTAATCAATATAGATTTAAGAGAATTAAGATTTAAGAAACACATTCTCTGCACTTACCAAACATACACATCTAAATAGCAATCTAATATATACACATTGCGATTGTTTAGCAAGGTGTTCGTTAACTTTCCGTGAGGAACTTCGACCTGCGGAAGTTCCAGATAACCCATTCCAAGTTGAACTTGATATAATCTAGGCATGAGAGGCACAAAATTTGGATCCACATGCTCCTATTGTAAAAGTAAAGCGAAACAATTAACAGCATAATATACTCGATCGAAGGAATAATTATTAAATATATTAAAAATAAGATGAATTAAATAAAATTTCAAACTTATGTATAGATAGTATAATTAAAATAGTATAATAAAATAGTATAATTAAAAAATAATTTTTATTATTGCTATGTATATTATAAAAAGGAAGCTTACAACAATTTGCAGATTTTGTTGTTCGTACTCTTCCATTCCTAAATGCAACAAGAATTCTTCGGATTCGACACCCATGACGTCCGTTAAAATTTCAGCTTTATTTTTCCGTTCGTTCTTATTAATTTTCTCTGCCATCAATCGTGCCTTTGATTTTAATGTGCTCTTCGCTTTCTTCCCGTACCACATGAATATCTTATTTCCCGTATCAAGAACAAATACATAACCGGGATCCAAAGATTCGATACAAACTGGAACTGGTTCTAAATGTATAGAAGCTCCTGCTGCGTGTACTCTATATAAACGAGTAATCGCTGGCTGAAAAAAAATTCAATGTAACTTAAAATTCCTCTTTGAAAATTTATATAATTATGATATAAGAATTAAGCTCACTGTATCTTCCACTGTATAAAAACCAGACGATGTGCGACCGCCTTCGATATAAGTGATACCCGAATCAAACAGCATCAGAAATTCATCCGATTCATCTCCTTGTTCTTCCCTAATTGTTCGACATTGAGCGCCTAAGTAGTTTCTCAGATTTACGGCGTGAATTGCTGCACATGCTCTTTTATCTAACTATGAGAACAAGTTGTTATTAAATTAATCGTATCCAGTTTATATATACAATAATTTACGTAAAATAATTCATTCAGTTTTAATCTTTTTTCTATTATCCTGATTCAAAGGTATACATACTGTGGCCTTTTCTCCGATCCAAAAATAGATTGCCCAGGTTAACGATCCACCTTCGTCTATTCCGGTTTTCAGAATGATGTAACAATCGCCTTCATAAAATTTACCGTGTGCTACCTCCTCGATCTCATTCGGCAGAAAGTTCTCTATTTCCCAGACCGATAAACCAGGTATTTGACCTGCGTCTTCATCAAAAAATTCGGAATAATCCAACGGTGGTTTCTCTAAAGCTTCATCCCATCGCTTGGGTCTAAAGTATTAATCATTAATTAGTAATATGTAAAAAATTAATCTATTAAGAATCTATCAAGAAAAATATGAGAAAAATCCACATCGAAAAACAAAAGTGACATAAAAAATTCATAGTTCTACTCACTTCAGGGATTCTGCTTTCGATTCCTCACATTCTTTATCCTTGTTCTTCTCTTTTGCTATGTCCTTCATACCCTATAAAAACAATCATAATTGTAAATTTCTTCATATATAAATATTGTAATGTAACTAATAAGATGATGACATACCTTAAGAATTTTTGCTTGATCTTGATCAGCTTCCTCCTGATCTCTTCTTCTTCTCAATCTCATTTTACGCGCGATTGGATCTTTACTATCTATAATTCAAAAATGTATTTTTATTTTAAATACAAAATAATAAATTTTGCCATTTTATTTTTTCTGATGCTTATAATATATACGTACTAGCAGCTTGAATTGGAGCTGGTACATTAGCACCAGCGAGACGTAACTGATGCTGCAACGAGAAATCAATGTTGTAAAATTCAATACCCGATCCTCTTTGTACTTCTGTCGGTTTTGGTGGCATCACTAAATTTGGATTGTCTCGCAAATCTAGCTGTTCTAGATCGGTGAGAAGATGAATGGCATCCGGTACAGTAATCAATCGGTTTGAAGTTAATATTAATTGCTTTAATGAGCCACATCTAAAATATATATATATATATATATATATATATTTCTTTTTGTAACATTATTTAAAAGAAAAAGATTTTTATTTTTCTTACAGTAAGATAAGAAAAAAATAACAACTCACCTGCATAATCCTTCTGGTATCATTTCTAAATGATTGTTAGCAGCAGAGAAAACCTGCAAAGATGATAATTTTCCTATTCCAGAAGGTATGCCCTCAAAATCTAATTCATTATCATTTAAATACAATCTTCTTAATGTGGAAATCTTGCACAAAGCAGCTGGTATTGCACTTAATTTGTTTCGCGATACGTTCAGAATCTCCAATCTCGTCCACAATTCTAGAAGATGTCTTCTTATTAGTTCATACAAAACTATATAACTAGGATAATTATAAAAGTTCAATGTATTCACCAATCGCTGTTGATAATTCTATTATATGATTGCCACTCAAATTTAAACGGCGCAAATTCGACAAGGAATAAAGCGCATCAGGCACTCGGGGTAAATTATTTTGTGACAAATCTAGCTCTTGCAAATTAGTTAACGTTTCTAGACTAGAAGGTATATTATTCAATGTTCGTTGTGTGTCCCGCATTTGTAACGTCGTTAAATTCATTAATGATGGCAATTGTCTGAAACAATATGAGAAAAATAAAGAAATTCTTCTTAGAAAAAAAAATTCAAAGATTGATATGAAAATTTTGTCTTCTACCTTAATTGGAAATGACCTAAGGGATTATGATTCAGATTTAAAGTCTGTAAATTAGCCAAACGTCGAGTCTGTGGTGGTACTGTTTCCAGTTTATTGTGACTAAGATCCAAAAACAATAAATCTGTCAAGTGAATGAACAATGTATTTGGTATCGTTTCGATACTGAAAGAATAAAAATAACATTAGAACTTCTTCGATAATTATTCTATGATCTAATAACATACAGTTGTTAATACGTACTGATTATGGCTTAAATTAAGATTGAGCAAAGAACGTGCTCTTTCTAGGCCTTCAGGTACCTCCTTCAAATTGTTGTGACTTAAATCTAAAGTTGTCAATTCCTCTAAATGAAACAATTCTGCCGGTATACCACTGGATTTGATATTATTATGCCTTATGTTCAAAGTCCTGAGGCAACCCAATTCTGTTAATTCGCCATATAAACGTTCCAATTTGTTTTTGACAAGTGATAGATGTTCCTAATGAATGATTAAATATATTAATACGATCCTTAAATAGTTACTTAAATAACTCGACAAATCTTTTTTTATTAAAGTTTATGCAAACAATGATAATGATATAGAAATATTTTTTATATGTAAACAAATATTGTCATACAATTTTTTTCAAGTAATGCTTTACCAGTTTCAACAATTTGCCCATCTCTTCTGGGATCTCCGTCAAATTTGTTTTGTCTAATTTCAGCCATTGTATTCCAGTCATAAGACGCACAGATTCAGGAAATTTACCATCCTAGAAGAATATCGAAAAATAATCTTTATTAGCTAAATCTAAATCTAAATCCTAAATCTTATCTCAACCAAGTTGAGATATTGATGGATCAAAAGTGGCACGTCATTCAGTTTTTAATCATCTTTTTTTATACTAGAGCAGAAATAAATTACGCTTAATAAAAATTATTATTATTAAATGTTAACAAAATTAGTTCAATATAAAAACAAAATAAAATTTTAAAAATCCTGAACAGAATCAGGGACATAATTGAAGCGTGTTTCAAAGATTCTTTCGCGATTTTCTGCGAGGTTAACCTCTGTGAAAATCTCTGACGGTACTCACGCCAAAATCATTGCTGCTGAAGTCCACGCCTCGCACGAACGGCAGCACCCCGGTATTCGCCATCGCCCCTACCGGTTAATTGCTGCACGACGACGACGACGAGGACTTGTGTCGGGAACACGAGAATCACGTCCCAGAAATGAGTCCCGCTAAGTCATAAGTGTCGGCGCGCCGCGTCCATCCGAATTTGCCGATCGTCAGGCAGAGCAGTGTCTCCGCTGGTCACCACTCCTCGCCGCGCTTTATCGCGCCATGCGTCACCACGGTCCGCGACCAGGATCGTCCAGGACCCAGGACTCTGCAGGACTCGCTCTGGCGTCTCAACTGTCGCAGTGTCTCGATCGAGCGTGCCCGGGTGCCGGCACGACGCACATCACGACTGGGACTACTGGGACTAATTGAGAATACTGGGACACGGATGACGATGACGACAGTTGGATGTGCCGCGGGGGACGGACTTTAACCGTGTCGCGATCCGGAACAAACCGGAGCGAACAGCGTTTCACTCCGTCGAGGGCACAATCATGCCCGTCGTTCCGCGACGGCCAGTTCGTGGCTTGGGATCGTCGGGAACGAGAACGTGAATCCCGTAGACACGAAACCGGCGTCGGGGGACAATGGGACGTGGGACGTGGGAATGAGGACCGATCCTCTGGCCTCCGGTTTGAGTCCGGCTTCGGCGCGACGATCGGCGTTTCCAGGCGTTTCGTTCTATATGAATGAAAAAAAAGAATGAAGTATTTCCGCAAGGCGCGGCATGTCATCCTAATATTTAAATGTTAAAATGTATTTGCAGAATCGAGAGAATTTCCTCGCATTCCTGCGCTCTCATATGAGATGTATGTAAATTGATGTAAATGTGACACGTGAAGTGCGCGCGTATTCGAGGACATTTGAGATGTGTTTTTATCTATGTTATCTACTCACATGTTATGTACTCACGTGTCAGAACTGTTGGTCATTTGAGAGACTTATAATATTCATGTACGTTCTCAGCAAAGAGAATGGATTAAAATGAATTGAAATTTTTTTCTATCCGAATGCGTATTTTAAATAGCGCCCAGCAAACGAGAATGGATTAAAATGGATTGAAATTTTTTTCCAAATGCGTATTTTAAATAGCGAATATTTTTTTTTTATTTAATTGGATTCTATTGGATTTAATTAGATTTCAATTGGATGCAATTGGATTGAAAAACTGCATTTCCTATTCAAAATTATTTTAAATTGAACAATATTACGTTTATATTTACATACAATGCACAGAAAAAGTTAATATTATTTTTAGATTGAAAGGCGTAGAGATATATGCTCCATGCAATTCTTATAAATGAATAAAATGCATTCGTTTTAATATTTCAATATTTCTGAATCAATATTTCTGAAAATCTGAAGCCATTTCAATTCATTTCAATCCATTTTCGTTTGCTGGGTTACTGCTGCTTTTTTAAATTATTATTTATTATTACATTGTATATATTACCTCACATTAATACTTATTAAATACAATAAATTAAATATTACTTAAAATAAATTATTTAATTA